CCAGTGAAATATATTAATGTTTGTGGTTGTAATGTGACAAAATATGGAAAAGTTCAAGGGGTATGAATACTTTTGCAAACCACTGTATAGTGAGAAAGTTGTCAGGGTGTTGGAGTCTCTGCTTCTGAGCAGAGTTGCGCTGCTTTGTTTGGGTTTTCCTGATATCAGCCCAAGGTCTGACTGAGGCCTGTGTGCTGAGTGCTGTATGAACCTGATTGGCATCAGAGGACTGAAAATAAAGTTTTTAACAAGAAATCCAGCTGAATCCTGTTTATTCGGACATACCATTTTGAACAATGCATATTTTTCCAACAATTCAGCCGTAGGTCAGTAGGGGGCGAACACAGGCATTGAAGAATCATGTATAAATTGATGTACTTCCTGGGGTTTTTTTTTGGAGTGTGGTTTCCTGTCAGCTCGGTGRCAATAAACCTCACTCGGTTCCAGAATTCTGGAGTTGTATGGTTTGATTCCTTCTACAAATCATTTTATTTAACAATGGTGGTTTTGTATTGACTTCAGTCTATTGAATACATATTTTCTTACAGAACCTTGAATGTTTATGTTCCAGTTTTAATAGCAGCCTTGTGTAAATTGTCAGAAAWTTTGGCAGATCACCTCACGTGACTAATACCGTTGTACTTGGATTTGCTGCAGAAAAGTTGAGTTTAGTCTCTCCTGGTGCTGCGTAGATATCTTTTATATGTGGTTACGTCATTTTTTAACCTGTTCAGTTTTCTCTGTTTTCTATGACGTTTTAGGAACTATTAAGTCACAGAATTTGTGATGAAACGGCCAAATAAAGTCTGGACTTACCAACTACACTTTGGTGGTCATCATTCTCCTCTGACTCTGGGTCAGACTCTGGCTCCAACATGTCAGGCTGGAAGGACAAGTCTTCCCTTRTTAACCTCTTTTAATAAATTTTTTCCATAAAATGTTTTTGCGCCGCTATATCAGTAGTCGTAAACCCCTCTGTCAAACTAGAATGAACAGGTATGGAAGCTGGAGGGTTGGGGTTCGAAACAAGTTGACCTGAGACGCACCTCAGAAAAGGGGTGAAAGAGGGGCTGGTAAAATTAAAACTGAGACCCCAGCTGAGTCATTTAAAAGCGGAAAAAGAAGGATTTAAAAGCATCAGATGTTTTTTTATATTTAAAGACATCAAAAATAGAAAAAAATAAACTGGTAATAATAATGATAATAAACATGAACAATAAACACACGTAATAAACACATAAACACAATAATAAACATGATCTTTGACCAACTTAAAGTTTTTCTTTATAAAAGGATTCAAAAACCCATTTACTAAAAATAACTTTTTTACGTCAGAGTTTCATTTCATGCTATTTTACACTAAAACACTATTATTTGGAAATTGAAACATTTAAAACAAAGAATAATTTGAGGGGTTAAGGTGTCATTTAATCCAACTTTTCAATAATATTGTTTATGGACTTCAAAATGTCTTAACAGTTATGTAACATTTTGATTAAAAGAGAGAAGAGGCTTCTTTCCAGTTGCTTTCCAGTTTGCTGGAGAACCTGAGGGCCGCAGAGGATGATGTTGTTGTTTTTAAGAGCAGGCTCAAGACTATCTTTTTAACAACATTTCCTGATCTGGATCATTTCGGCTCAGTCTATACATTTTCCACACATTTATGTTTTTTTTCCCATGTTGGGAAAGTGCTTTTTGTATGAAGGCTGCTTTATAAATACAATTGATTGATTGAAAAGCTGCCCCAGGTTTGAAAGTGAGAGCCATCATACTGTTAGGTCACACATAAATGGATATTATCAATATATTGTTTTTGCAGTTTTTGTCAAATTAACCATTTTATGTACGTCCACAACCTATTTAAAGGGGCAATATTGTGTAAAATCAACTTTTTTGGGTTTTAGATCATGTTATAATGTAAAAAACATGCCCAAAGCCTTGCTTTGACTCATTCATGCATGTTTGAGAAATCCTGCAGCGTTTTTAGGAAGCCATGCTGAGAAACAAAACGACAGGTGGGGACCAGAAACGCCTTTTTGGACCAGAATGGGACGTGTCTTTAAGCTGAACTTCCTCATCTTGGCAGTAACAGGGCAAACTGAAAGTGAAACCTAACTGTCCTCTACTCTCTACACTTTTTCTCACTCAGTGAAGCTCTTTTCAGATTCAAAATACCTTTTGAGGAAATGTATTTCCAGATGCCAAGTAAACTTCATCATAGCGCACGCGCGACCCCCCCCCCCGCGCCGCACTGAACGGGACGGGACAGAAGCAGAAGTGACATCAACTGGGTGGCAAGACAAATCATTTGACATTATGTTTGGCTTTTATCAACAACAGTAAATTTAATATTTGTAAGAACCATATGATTGGACATTTTAGGTGAAATTATAGTTATATTGTAAAGCATGAAATTAAAGTAATGAAAATTGAGTGAGGGAGGAAAACAGATCCTGATAAAGACCTACAATACATTGAAGGGCACTATACTGTATTGCTGATTTCTTTTTAAATTTCYTAATAAAGAAGTCTACATTTGAATAATCATATTTCCAACAGGAAGGTATTGGTTAGTGTTTCACATTAAAGAAAATTTGTTCATGTTTTAAAAGTACAATGAATGCAGAATTTTCAAACTCAGTGAATAGTCATTTTCAATATGTGATTATAGTATATACCAAAAAAGATTCTTTTTCAGCTGTAATCTCTTGTTTAAATCCTAAAAATATTGTGACTTCTATTTAGTTCAGTTACAAATATGCAACTGTTTATGTCAATATAAAATGTAATATATGAGTTAAGAAGTTGGTCGGAAAAGGTTTTATTACATTGTTGCTACAATTTGCATATTTAAACACTGATTGCCACCCATGCAATCTGCAAAATTAGAAAGTGTAATTCTGAGCTGGGCCTTATATGGGAAGGCTGAAGTTTCAAGGCCAGATGTCCCAGAAGAAACACATTTCAAGGGAAGTC